GCACTTTCATTTGCAGATTGAGAGAGAGAGAGAGAATGTGTTCTTAGAGCATCTCTAACGCCATGTTTGCTTGAACTTATCATCCGTACATTTTAGTGAAATAACAATGTTTTTCTCTCACAACAAATCAGCATCAGCATCAGCCGTTTTTCCAGCCAGCCGAACAGTGCCTAAGAGTTTTCAATATCCACTATCAATCTTGATTGTTTTGGCAAGATTGAAAAAAAAACACTCTTCAACAATTCTCTATCTCAATTTCGAATCTTTCTGCACTTGGGAAAATCGTTCCAATCATGCGAAAATATACAGTGCTCATATTGATCAACTAATCTGAAGGTGAAAAAGGCATGTGGAAAAATAAGGAGTAGGACAGTGCTCTCCACACAAATATACAAAAAGAGAAAGAAAATATAAAAGAGGTTAGGGGTGATTTAGAAATAATCCGAAATTTCTTATGCAAAAATTGCACCCATTGCTTTACCAATTATTTTTTTAAAAAAATTATAGGAGATACTCTTAGAAGGGTCCTACTGCATGAATGAATACGCAAAAATACACACGGGCTACTAGAGCCAAAAGATTACCCAACTTTCCTTACTAGAGCCAAAAGATTACCCAACGACTTGGGAAAGCTAGACTAGCCGCACGCCAGTCTCCAGAGCACGGAAGGACATCTCCTTCGCCAGAGCAATTACCGGCGAGTTCGATCTTCCCTCGAAGATGCGATAGTTCATTTACGTCCAAATATTCCAGACCATGTACATTATTATAGCCGTCGGCTTCCTTTGTTGCCTCGTGGGGAGCTCTAATTTCCCGACACAGACAGCCAGTCAGGAGTCAGCCACCAATCTTCTGAGGCCCTGTTTGGTTTACAGGATTTTCAAAGGAATTCTAAAGAAAATCAGATTCATATAGGGCTTGTTCGCTTGAGCTTATCAGTCAGTTTATCAGCTAGAATCTATAATATTTTTCTCTCACAATAAAATAGTTTCAACCGACTTATTAGCCAACTTTAATACCAAACCGAACAGGCCCAAAACACTGTAGCAGTGTTTGGAATGGAGGATTCGTGAGTTTCTTTCCAGAGGAAAGGCTCCTGCGCTTGTACGTTTTGAAGGAATGAAACAATCACTGTTATCTCTTGCTTTCCATTCCTTCACGAAGTTCAAGACACTCATGCTCACTGATGCAACTTGGTGTAGGCTTTCAATGAGACAAAAAACAAAGCACTCATTAATTAACACTCTAAAGTAGGGTCATATATGGTCTGCGCAAGCATCGACACGGAATATTTTGAATTTTTTATTAACTAACATATGCTGCTTTGTTTAAGAAAAACATTTGTGACCTAGTTCTTGTTTAGTCTAAGTAATCATGTTTACCACTAACCCTATAATTCCTGTGCTACTCATATTCCTTTGTTCCAAACACCAAATCCTTTAGAATTACTGTGTTTTCCATTCCTCTGTTATGCACGTACATTCCTTTCATATTTCTGTGTTTCTTTTCTTTTCTCTGTTTTGTATTCCTCCGTTCCAAACAGACCCTAATGTCAGAAACATTTGCATCAGGCACCCAAATTCAGCACGTTTCCCGATGTATATATTGTGGCGGGAGTTTAGTGCAAACTCAACCACAAAAGGGTGCAAAGCTCTCGTGTCCATCGAAAATGTTTGGCATTACATAGTCACTCCAGGCCCTGTTCATGCAGCGTATCTATTCTTCTGTATACAGACAGCGACGTGCAAGAGATTATTGGCGCGCCGGCCCATCTCCCGTGCGCAGCCCAGTTTCCGCACCGCACCTTTGCGTTTGCGTGCAAGAGATTCGCCGGCCGGATATGGATTCGTTCGTGAAAAGCATAGGGGCGCTAGCTATCTACCGGTCGGGATCGTACGTGAACCGGTGGGACGGCCGCGAGCCGTGGCCTGTGGTTGCGCTTGCGGCGCACGGCGGTAAAGATTCGTCGGTCGTCAGCTGCCTTGGTTGGGATTGGGCACGTCACAACAGCACAGCCGCCGTGGAGTAATCAGCTGCCGCGCGCGCGGCCAGATAACGCTAGGCTAGCCCTCTGCTCCGTGGTCCGTGCTGGCGGTTGGGTTCCTTCAAACTCGTCGAGCGCGCCGTGCTGGACCCGTTCCTGCCGTGCAGCCGCTCTGCTGAGTGAGTCCAATCCCGCTGATAAATCGAGCGAGTCATGGGGCGTTTGGCACCCATAGCAGACAAACGATCTTTCATCGATAGCCAAAAAGTATTTAGTGTATTTAGTTCTAGTTTAAAAATTGCAACCGGGACTAATTTCATTCTTTCTTACCAAGACATATCCGTACGAGAACCTTTAGTCCCAATTCAAGACATGAATTGAGACACTTTTAGTCCTGATTTGAAACACGAATCCAAATTAAAGGTATATTTAGTCCCGGTTTGTGTCTTAAAACCCGGACTAAATGTGTCTCTAGAATAAATTAAAAAAGAAAGCGTATATCTAAGTTAGATATATGGTGGAAGTTGAGATGACAACACGCGCGTAAGGACCGAGCCGTGAAAATTAAGGGGTCTTACTCTGCGAGTTATTATTACTAGTACTAGTACTAGTACTAGTATACGTACGAACTAATGTCCTGTTCGTTTGGCTGATAAGTTATGGCTGAAAGTACTGTTGACTGATTTGTTGTGAGAGAAAAATATTATTCGTTGGCTGAAAAAATATAGCTTATAAGCCAGAGCGAAAGTAGAGTAAGATTAGTTGTCGCAGCCTCGCAGGTAGCTAGTTGGGTGTGATTGTCCATCTCCGACGGCGGTGCTGCTAATTAAGCGCTTCTAGATAGAGGGGTTCGTCAAGTGCACGTACGGTTAGTACGCCCGTTCGTTTCGCTGAAAAAACAAATCGAAATATTATTCCGACTAATTTATTATGAGAAAAAACATTATTTTAGTTAAAAAAATAAACTAAAAAAAACGAATTATAAGATAAACGAACCGGACCACAGTCGAGTACGTATGGAATGACCGAACGAGGGATGCGGCTGTTTTATTATACTTATTAGCAAAAATAGTTAAGAGTAAGGAGCATCATGTCGCTAGCGCGCTACTGTATGGATAAGACATATTTCAAACGTTCTTCCATTTCGATTGGAACTCGACAGAGACGTGCACATGGGTTATGAATTCATGATTGAAAGAAGTGTCCTTTATCACCTTGGCCTCGTTTAGATTGTAAGTTTTTTCACTTTCTTCTTCATCACATTAAATCTTTAGACACATGCATAGAGTATTAAATGTAGATAAAAAAATAACTAATTACATAGTTTGATTGTAAATTACGAGACGAATCTTTTGAGCCTAGTTAGGCCATGATTGGACAATAATTATCAAATACAAACGAAAATGCTGCAGTGCCAAATACTGATTTCTAACCCCAATTTAAACAAGGCCCTTATTAATTTGTACCGTCCATGCACAATTCTACGCAAATGTCAATAAGTTGGGCCATAATCGGCTCCTTGTATGTATCGCCCACACCGACTCACGTAGGGATTTCTCTGGCTAAACAAGGTAATGATCGCACAGCAAACTGTTTACGAATTGAGTAAGTACATACATTCCTCAATCGCAAACATGCTAACGGATCCGTTGGGTCATGGGTGGTGGTAGTTCATGGCTGACTAGCCACCACAGCACGAGAGATATTTCCAGAGTCACGGGCAAGCCGGCTGCGGTAACCAGTCGGTCAGTCCAGGAACGTGCAGCCGGCGTGGCCCCTCTCCCAGATCGCGCTCGCACGTGGTTGGCTATACGTCCGCCACCGCCGGCAAACAAGAACCGAACATTTCCGGGCACCTATGTCCCTCTCCCTCCCTCTTGTTTGCCCAAAGCAACGCACGCCTACGCCTCCCTCTCCCCCTCGAGATAATCCGCCGTGACCCCGACATTTCCTGACGAGCGGGTTTTTATCGTGAATTCGTGATCGCAATTCGCAAACGCGCGGTCCGCCTCGCTCGCCCGCCGCGCGCGTCGCTGCCTCACTGCGCCGTGTTTTGTCCCGTGTCGGACCTAGTAAAATATGGAGCACTAGTCGTGGTACCGCGCCGAGATGTGCCCGCACAAGGGCCCGCACGGGCACCGCACATCCCCGCTAGTGTGCGGGTGGCCCGCATATGCGGCGACGCTCCCGAAAATTCCAGGTGCCCCTATTCCCGTCCGCCCCGCCCTTCCACGCCACAGGCCGCCCCCGCGCGAGAATCTAGAGACGACGACGACGAGAGTGCCGTCCCGCGCGAGTCGCGACGCTACCTAGGCCCGGTGGAGATAACAAAGGAGATAAGCGACGGCGACCGGTCGCCCACCCAAACCCGCTGCCACATGGGGCCCGCCACGCCCGACCCCAGCCGCTACGGTGGCGCCACGCGGCCTGCCGCTTTGCCGCCGTCCACACGTTTGCCTGGAAGGAGGCTGCTGTGTGGGGCCAGTCGTTCCCCGCCACGTGGGCCCGTGTGCGGCCACGATCCCCGCCCGCCGCGGCCCGGCAAGAGACGATTCGTTCGATTCTATACTCCCGGTGCTCTCCCTGCCTTGGCGCCTCCGCCTGCCCCCCCCCCCCTCTCGGTGCCGGAGCGAGCGGCGGCTATAAAACCTTCGCCCCCACTCCCACGCGAAGCCCTACACAACTTCTCCTCCTTTTTCACCGCCGATTATTCCGGCCACTCGCCTTCGTTGCGTGCGATAGAACCCGGTTCGAGAACGGCGGCGGGCGGCTAGAGGAGAGGAGCGTGCTAAATCGATAAAAGGACGAGCACGGCTCTTTTTTTTGAAGAGGATTGCGCTGGAGAGAGTCCATTTTTAGGGCGGTGCCGGCGCGACCGTTCCGGGATCGGGAGCTTTTTCTGGGGGCGAGAGGGGTCACGGCAGCGGCGACGACCGACCAACCCAACCCACCCAGTTCCCGCGGCCCCGCGTCGAGGAAGAAGAAGGGATAGGAGACGGAGCCAGTGGTCGCAAGGATGGCCGGGAGCATGCAGGCGGCGGACGCGGCGGGCCGACTAAGCGCGCTGCTCTCGCTGCTCGAGCTGCGCCGGCTCCTCGCCGTGCTCCAGCCGCTGGCCCTGCTCCTGCTCCTGCCCTTCCGGTCGCGCGCGCGGCCGGGGGCCGTGCCCACGGCCGCGGCGTCCGATGCCGCGGCCTCCGCGTCGTCGGGGGCTAGCGGGAAGAAGGGGAAGGCGTCGTCATCGGTGGTTCTGCGGGTGCCGGCCGGCTCGCCCATGGTCGCCGCGCGGAGGCAGGCGTCCGCAAGGAGGGAGATAGCCATGCGCCGGGCGCGGGAGGCCGGGAGGGAGTACGAGCTCATCGCCACCGCTCGCGGCGAGACGCTCTTCACGCAGTGCTGGTGGCCGCACCCGCCTTCCTCCACCATTAAACCAAGGTGAGACACTGAGACAAGGATACTAACTCACGAAACAGAGGAACCCAATAAAATCCAGGCATCCTGGGGGACTCTGCCCACATGTGTTTTGCAAATTTTGTTCCTTTCTTCTCCTAGGAAAGGTGCCTTCTGGTGCTATTGACTTGTTGATCGAAGTATTCGTCCTTTGTTGTTGGCGATTTGTGACACAGGGCGCTGGTTGTTGTCATGCACGGGCTAAACGAGCACAGGTAAGAACGGTTCCTGTTCCTATCAGTTTCTTTCGAAACGGTTCTCTGGCTATGCTGCTTTGTTGGTAGCGGATGGCTGACCCTGACCTTCCTTGGATTGGTGTGGCAGTGGGAGGTATGATCATTTAGCAAGGCGATTGAATGACATCGGCATCAAGGTGTACGGAATGGACTGGACTGGTGAGCATCTTTTTCCTCCTTTTTTGGTTGTCATGCTTCAAATCTTATATTATCACGAACTACTTATGCATGTATGTTTTGATTTGATTTTCATCAATGTTGATGATTGTGTGATTGTGACCTTAATTAACTGGTGCCAGAATCTTTCACCAGCGATAACAAGAAATGAATAAAAATGCCAATTTCTCACTAGGACGAAATGAACACAATTTTTCTGGTCTTAAATCCTGAAAGTGAAATGCAAGGCCGTCTATTTTTTACACTTGACTTTGGTGTCCAGGTATTTTGTTGGCTTCATTTTGGCTGTTCATTCCTTGGTTGTCCGACTCCGTCTTAATCAATTCAAATTTCATCGCTCGATTCCAAAATAGAGCTTCATTTTAGCTGTTCATTCCTTGGTTGTCCTTGCTCCGTATTAATCCGATTCTAATTTTATTGACCCATTTCAAAAATAAAATTCAGGACCCTGACTCCCTGAGTTGCCCTTGACTGACCTTCCTTCCAGCTAAATTTCAGAAACTTACCATGAGAAGTTAAGATGAATAATGGTATCTTGTTTGTAGCTGGGAGCTTATCTATGATGCTTCTTTGCTTTCATTGTTACTTTGTGGTTACCTTCTTGTATCGTGTATTGTCTGGTTGTGATCTGGAGCTTAGATAAGGTGCACCAGTTCAATGGTTTCTCATTCGATATTGTGATTGAAGTGTTGATCATTCATTATTGTTGGCTTGGACACTAACTCTGTTCGGTACACATCATCATTTGACAATTCTAAAATAAAGAATGACTTATGAACTAATATTTCCCATACTCAGTTTAGCTTCTCCTTGTTGAATTAGACAAACTACATGCTAGCTTGAAGTTGCTTATAGGTTTTTACTATGTATAACCATGTAAAATATTAACTATGTCAGGCTGTAAGAGTATAGAATGAGATTCTAGATTAGGAACCAGATGGCAATAGCAATAATGCAGCAAACAATTGAGCTAACTAATATTTGGAATTTGTCAGAACTGCAGGCATCACTGTGAGAATCAGTGATAAATATATTAGTCTGATCTGACCTGTAGATTGTGTTGTGTTACAACAGGTCATGGTGGAAGTGATGGTCTCCATGGATATGTGCAATCTCTTGATCATGCTGTCAATGATTTGGTAAGAGCAATTGAATATCTTCACATCTGTCTGAGACTATCTGTGTAAATCCTTATTCAAAATCTTCTGATCAATATAGAAAATGTACCTCAAGAAAGTATTAGCTGAGAACCCTGGTCTTCCATGCTTCTGCTTCGGCCATTCGACTGGTGGAGGTATCATTCTGAAGGTATCGTCAGTGGAGCCATATGAATTGCATTATTGTGGAGCTTACTTCTCCAAAAGTGTTGTTGCACATTTCTTTTCTGCTGTATAAATCTAAATGTTTTGCATTAACTAACATCACCAGCCGTTTTGATTCTTAACAGGCTGCACTTGATCCAGAGGTAGAAACTCTCATTAGCGGTATTGTCCTGACATCACCAGCTGTCCGTGTTCAGCCTGCCCACCCAGTCATAGCGGTATGCCTTGTTCTTTCTTAAACAATATATAATCTACTACTTGCATCCTTGAAAAAATGAAGCAGGTTGAATGTTCAGTAATATTTGCCTTGTTATTTCTTAAACAATATAATCTTGCAGTATATTTATATACTTGAAAAAAAATGAAGCAGAAGCACGGTTCCTTGTGGTTTCCTAAACATTGTGTCACGGAGTCAGTAAACTTTCAGATATAGCGTATTGTTCCACATTTTTATGGTTTGATTTGTCTGAGAAAATAATACTTCAGGCTTGGTACCAATTTTGTGCTTATGATAAGAGAGTGCAGTTTGCAGACACCATTTGCCCTCACCCATCTAAAAAAACGTTTCTGCTGCCAACTGCAGGTCATGGCACCGATTTTTGCCCTCATCGCACCGAGGTATCAGTTCACGGCGTCCCACAGGAACGGCCCACCGGTGTCGCGCGACCCCGAGGCCCTGCGTGCCAAATACACGGACCAGCTCGTGTTCACGGGCGCCATCCGCGTGAGGACGGGCTACGAGATCCTCCGCCTGACGTCGTACCTGCAGCAGCACCTGCACCGGATCGCGGTGCCGCTGCTGGTGATGCACGGCGCCGACGACCTGGTGACCGACCCCAGGGGCTCGCGGGCGCTGTACGAGCAGGCCTCGGCCGCGGACAAGTCCCTCAAGCTCTACGACGGGCTGCTGCACGACCTCCTGATCGAGCCCGAGAAGGACAAGGTGATGGACGACATCGTGGCGTGGCTGAGCCCCAGGGTCTGACCACGCTGGCATTGCAGTGCTGGCCGTAGAACGCGCGCGGCTCCGATCATCTGCTGAGCGCGGAGGACTCGCAGGCGGAAGACGCCTCGCCTCCGGACTGTGATGACGCGGTCTGGTCGGCCGCGGAGCAAGGGAGAGCGGGTGTGCCTCCTCGCCCCCCTTGGCGTGGCGATTGATGATCCGAGAGCAGTTACTACCACTACCTACGGCGATGGCTTTACTCGCGCCTCCCGGTGTATCCCGAGATTTTTGTCAGGGATACGTACGAATTATGTAGACGATGTTCGTTTCGCCCTGTGTGGCTGCACGAGCGGTGTCCGATACTATAGAAGACGCCTTCCCTCTTGTGAATTGTGAATGCATTAACGCAATTCCATATCAGAGTGGCAAATTGCAACAGGCTCGGTCTCCTCATCTGTCTGCTCTGTTCATAGTAGTACTTCACCTAGCACCCTAGCTTTGCTGCTTGCAATTGCAACGTTGATCCGGAAACGGGGCCTTGGTGCTGCGTAAGAAGTCCCAAGTGGCCAAGTTGGCTGTCCGCAGGGTCACCGTGCAGCGCGCACGGCGCGCGGCGACTGTTCCGATTGGCGGTGAAGCTCGGCTGTGGCCACCTTGAAACCGCGAGCTACTGCGGTGTCGGAGGTTGTGCGATCGTGCCATCGTTTTCATGATCTTGGTGATTTCAAGTCTTCCATTTCTTTGCACGGCGAGATCGTGAACCGTGATCGCTCGAGTAAACTCGCTGGCCTTCAAATTTTGCGAATCAGCACAGTGGGATCCATTTCTATTTTCCTGTTCATGGGGTTGTTCAGACGTCGCCGTCTGCGACCGCGGGAGCTGGGACTCCGCCTGACTTCATGCAACGTAAACGTAATGAATGTTCACGGTAGGTTTGCCACTTGCGCTGAACGAGGAGTGTCGTGGCCATTGACGCGGCGACTAGCGCCGCCCGATCTGCCAACGGACGGCGAGGGTAACTCCAGCAGTCGCGATGATGAGGCCAGCAGGCGATGCCAACTAGTGAACTCGACGCCGCAATGCGGCGTGCACGTTATCCTTGCTATCTAGTCTAGTAGAAAGCTGAAAGCTCCAAGTCTCCTCTTTGCTCTGTCCACCTTGCCAGTTGCCACGCACATCACCGAAAATTACATGCTTACCACCGAATATTCTTCGTCTTCGCACTTCTCAGCTCAATACTCGTACTTAAGATATCACGTCACATAAAGAGCGTACGCAGTATAGAGAGTTTCTGCTCTGTACGGGTCTGGAAAAGGGTGTTAGTGGCAAGTCTTATCCTCGCCTGTGCAATGCGAGGAGACTGGGACTCGAACCCGGAACCTTCCGGTCACAGGCGGTAAGATATCACATAGCATCAGTGATTGAAAAATGCCCTTATGAAAAACCTCAAGCTGGGAAGCTCCTCTTTTTATTGATTGCTTAATAAAAAGTGTGGCTTGGAATTGACACGTTATCATTTAACCTCCATCTGATCAGTGGAAATGTTGGTTAGAGGATAAAAAAAAAAGGCACCCCGTGGAATTGAAGCAGCATTTAGGGGTATGTGCAGATTCGCTATTACTGGCACCGTCCTTTGACATTTTGTCCACAATCGATGCAATATGTAGACATAAATAGGATTATTCTTGTACAGTACTCCTCAACATGGTCCATGAGGTGTCATTGTGGGTATCATTAGTTTGTTATGGTATATTATGCTAGATTTTTTCTTCGCAATATACAAGTTAAACAAGAAGGCACAAATAAAATAGGATCAAATGAACGCCAAAACTTGTTCCTATTGTTTTCACCAAGTATCACTTTCAATTGAGCTTAAGCACTACATGATTTGTCATGAGCAATAAGTCACTATGCAGTTGGTGTCATTATTTGAGAAAAGATATTGTGATTGTAAAAACTATGTCTATTCTGTGAGATAAAGGATTGTCGCATGCTATATCAATCTTTTTATTCTAATGCTATGATAAAGATATATTGCTTCGAACTAAGAAGCATTGCATTGATTTGTCATGAGCATTACTAGATCATTATCCGATCAATGTCTCTCGAAAAAAAGATAAGGTGATTGTATGTCCTTCAAACTAGGAGCGTTACATGATTTGTCACGAGTAATACTAGATCACTATGCTATCAATTCTCCATTCGAGAAAGATACCAAGATTGTAAGATCCGTTTATATGCATGAAAAATAAAGGATTATCACTTGCCATAATTTCTTTTCTTCTATTACTACCACTTCCAACCAGGTGTTCTCGGTTTTTGGTTTCTTGTTAGTTCATCTTGGGTTGTGTCCTTCCGGAGGTGGTAGTTGTTCTAAGTTGTCTTTGGTGCATTTGATCAGTTGTCCGTAGTTGTTAGCAGTTTGCCGTAGGTGTGGCCATCCTCTTTTGTTAGTGGGTTGTTGTGGTTGCTTCCCTCTTTTTGCTAGTTTTCTTCCATTGTTTCCAAAGCGGTTAGTTGTTTTTCTTAGTATGGAGTGTTCCTCTAGTAGTGGATCTTTGTTGGCTTTTTTAGCCGAGTGGTTGTTCGGTTCTCGGGCCTGGTTTTGCCTTAAAAACTGAGTTGATTCTTTTTTTTTCTAATAATATTGTGGCAATGCTTTTGTTGCTATTTCAAAAACAAAACTACCACTTCCAATTGAGAAGTATCACGTGATTTGTGCCGAGTAGTACAAGATCACTATGCAATTAATGTCTCCATTTGAGAAATAAGCAATGATGGTATCCCTATGCGGGATTTCCGCGTGACATCAATTTCTTTTCTTCTAATACTATGATATCGTGATATTAATTCCAACTGATAAATGCTACATGATTTTTCATAAGCATTACTAGATCACTATTCAATCAATGTCTCCCTTTGAGGAAAGATATGATGATTGCATAACCCATCTATATGAAGGAGACATAAAGGATTTGTTGTGTGCTATCAAATTCTTATTTTCTATTAGTATGATAAAGATATTTCACTTCAACAGAGAAGTATAACCTGATTCGCCACAAGTAACATTAGACCACTATGCAATTAGTGTCCTCATTTGAGAAAATATACGATGATTGAAGATCTATCAATATGAAGGAGGACCAGAGGAATAAAGGATTATCGTGTGCCATCAATTTCTTTTCTTCTTCTACTACCACTTCCAACCGACAAGTATCACATAATTTGTTGTGAGCAAATGCTAGATCACTATGTAATCAATGTGCAATTGGAGAAAAGATATGATTATTGCATGATCTATCTCTAAGCGAGAGAAAGAATTGCCTTGTGCCATCAAATTCCATTTCTTATAATATGCTATAATGATAAAAGAAATATCACTTCTAACTAAAAGGTATTACAATGTTTGTCAAGCAGTACAAGATAGGTATGCAATCAATGTCTTTGTTTGAGAAAAGATTTGGAGATTATGTGGTCCATTTCTATACATGAGAAACAAAGAATTGTTTTTCCATTAAATCCATTTCTTCTACTAACCATGACAAAAGAGATTCATCCATATAGAGGAGGGATATTGCTGCATTAATTTCTTTTTTCTACTACTACCAATTTCAGTTGAGAAGTTTTTAAGTGATTTGTAACGGGCTATACATATCACTATGCAACCAATGTCTCCATTTGAGAAAGAAAGATATGCTGATTGAATGATCTACCTCTATCATCTCATGCCATCAATCTCTTTTCGTATACTACTATGAAAAAGATATATCCTTTTACGCGCACATGATCGAAATTGTCAAACAATTTAAACAAATAGTAATAATAAACTACTAATCAATACTCATAAAAACATGGAATTGTGATACTATCTATCCCTATGCGGGATTTATCTTCTTCTACTATGATATTGTGATATCAATTCCAACCGACAAATGCTACATTATTTTTCATGAGCATTACTTAGATTACTATTCAATCAATGTTCCCCTTTGAGAAAAAGATATGATGATTGCATAACCCATGACCCATCTATATGAAGGAGACATATAAAGGATATGTTGCATGCTACCAAATTCTTATTTTCTATTAGTATGACAAAGAGGCGCCACTTTAATCGAGAAGTATAACCTGATTCGCCACGAGCAACATTAGATCACTATGCAATTAGTATTCTCATTTGAGAAAAGATACAATGATTATAAGATCTATCTATATGATGGAGGAATAAAGTATTGCCGTATAGCAACAATTTATTTTCTTCTACTACTACCACTTTCAACCGAAAAGTATCACGTGATTTGTCGCGAGCAAATGCTAATCAATGTACCAAGGAGAAAAGATATATTATTGCATGATCTATCTCTATGCGGGGGGAAGGATTGCCTGGTGACATCATTTTCTTTTTCTTGTAATATGCTATTATGATAAAGAAATATCACTTCTAACTAAATTATTTCATTCTAAATTATAAGATATTTTGCTTTTTTAGATACATAGTATTTACTATGTATTTAGATATACACCATGTCTAGATACATAGCAAAACTAATGTATCTATAATAGATAAGCTAAACCAGATATACTGAGAGAGTAATAGAAGTGTGGGGTTATACAAAGAGGGGCATTACGGTAAAACTTGATTTTTCTCAGTTTCCTTGGACTGCTAACTCGCTTCTATAAAAGGATAAGCTCCCTGAGCAAGCAAAAGCCCACAGAACGAGCGAGGCCAGGCGACTTCATACTGCTCGCCTCGCCGTCTTTCCCCCAATCTTTCGCTCCTCCCGGCTGCGGGCGATCGCCATACCCCGCGCCGCCGCAGGGAGCCCCCTCGCCATGGCCTTGCAGGGGAAGAAGCTCATCAACAACCCCGACGGTAACAGCCTGTCGCCACCATTTGCCCCTATTTCTCGCTAAATTTCAGACAGTTTTTCTTCGATTTCTAGGGTTTAATCGCGTCCGATGGTCCCGACTGGGCTTCGTTTTGTTAAAATTTTGCAGATGTGGTGATGGAGTTCATCGAGGGGTTGGTGGAGACTTAC